CAAATTTCAAAATATAAAGCATGCAAAAGATTTTACTGGAAAACAAAAAGGTTGACGGGAAATAAAACAAGCGTGGGAGGCGCTCTGACACAGCTACCCGTAGGCGCGTGAGCCTAAGAGAGTAGTATATCGAAACACGGAAGGGTAAAATGGTCCGACTTAAAGAAACTGTCATATCAGGGTTAGTTCACTAATTGAAAGTGAGAACTAGGGTACTTTCGCAAATTAACTCTAAAAAAAATTGAAGACACTGACCATTTTTTCTTTCATTTTTGTCTTCTCCTTCTATTTTCTTTGCGTTTCTCTCATTCTTTCTCGTAGAATTATTTTTCATTCTTTTTCTTTTATCGTTTCTTTTTTCCTTTTTTTATCTCTTCTTTCTCTTTTTTTTTCTGCAAAAAATCGAATTTCTATCAACCTTTTTAAAAGATGTCGTCTTCTATAGATACTAAACTAAACTTCAACTTCTCCATAAAATTTGAGTAGAAGACATCAAGTATGGCAAAGATTCAATCTGATTTGATGATGAATTCTATATTTTGGATTTATTTGATTTTAAGGTATTTTCTGAGTTTTTAATTTAAAATAGTTCTTTGTTTAAACAATATTTGTAGTTTTTTTTGTTTCTTATTTACTTATCTTCAGATATAAATTCAGCATTACTTGATATTACTAACTAAGTCAAACTCGGTATGTAATGCACAGTAGTATTTAGTAGTACTCGGTAGTACTACTAAGTAAACTACTCAATATAATTCAGTAAAATTTGATATAACTAACATCATTATTACATAGTATAATTAATATAACCAGTTCAATTCAATATAACAAATAAAATTTAATATATTAATTTGATAGTACAATTCAGTATAATTAGTACAACTAAGTAGAACTATATTAATATCCAAAATTTGAAATTTTAAAATTTTCATTTGATCATTTTAAAAATTGGAATCTTTTGTTTTAAAAAAAATTAATTTCGAAAATTAGGAAATTTGAGAGGCAAATAATCAGATATTCATATTTCATTAAAGTAATAGATGTATAGGGAATTTGAGAGGCAAATAGGAGATTGATTCATAACACATAGAATTTCTGACGTCTGACTGATCATCAATGAGAACATAATTATTTAGTTGCACTAATTAGTGTGTCATATCTCATGCATCTCTCTCGCTTTTATTATGCTTTGAATACAACCATGTATATGCAATAAAAATATTTGCAAAAAAAGCATACCCAATAAAAAGTCTCGGATTGGTACGAGCCCGGCTCATAGTACATTACGTGTACAACTCTTACTCGGTATTTATAGAACAAGCAAAATAAAATGAGAAAGGAATTCCATTAGAAATTAGTTTACAAGAAAATAATTTCCATTTGGATTGATGGACAAGATTGGTAACTAATAAAGTTTAGAAGGTTGCATTTGTGTTTGGACGATAACACTCATCTCTTAAACATCTCCTCAGTCACATGTCAACAAAAGCTATCAAGATTCAGTGTATTGATTTATTTCAACATGAAATAATGAAAAGTATTATTAACGATAAACAGGTTTTAAACCATTCACCTGTCTAACACTAAAATGAATATTTATAATCAAAGATTGCCTGCGGAAACTGTATAGTCTAGAGATTTGTCAACCCATGAATTGGAGATTTCAAATCGTTATGTACACGATGGTAACTAAATTATTTATAAAACCCACTTGGAATATGGTTCCAACACTAAGTACCATTGTTTCACAGTAACTATTGCTTTTCAAGAAAATGTTGTTTTAAACATTTTCCATACAAATTAAGATGATTCCTAATGATTACAGCCATAGCATATTTATTATTACACTGTAACACATTTTATTAGTCAATATTTCCTGTAGAAACTTTAAACTTTTCCCACATATTATGAAATTTGTAACAATTATCATTTAACCTTTTTAACCAAACGCTATTCAACTTCTATCTTTAACTTATGTATATTAAGGATAAATTAAGAAAAGAGCAATAACTAAACATTAAAAATTAAAACATTTAGATTTTTGAAAAAATAAACATTTATCAGTTTATGCGAAAGAAGTAAACATTAATACATAGTATTCGCATTTTCATTGATTTGTTGTTAATTAAATCAACATAACTTTTAGGGTCATGAAGACGGGGAAAAAACACTTCTAGGGTCGTGAAGAAGGGAAACACAATCTCGATGCAGTGGTACTAGTGATGCTCATTTCAGACATATGGAATTATATATTGAATCTAAAAGTCATATTCTTAATTTCGTGCATTATCTCATCTCATACACTGATACACACGTCACTTGATATACCTTCACTCGAGTCAGTTTTTTCTTTCAATCAATATATTTAATTATAGGTTAAACAAATCAAAATTAAATTAGATAGCCATATCATATATGTATAAGTATACGAAGACATCAATATTCTGACCTTATATAATGTTCTACCGAAGTAGTGTCTTTAGAAATTGTTTTCGAGATTAAAGCAATTAATTTCTATATTTTTCTGTTTCAACATGGCACCATAGACTATGGTGTTGCCTGCTGTCATGCTTAAAAATAAGAAACCAATGCATGATGTATGGTAAAGCTGCACCAAGTACAAGTAATAACTTTTGAAAACTAGATTTCCTCATCAGGAGGCTGAAAACTTTTAAAATTCAACAGATAACGATACGTCAACAACCCTTGTTGGTGATAAGCCATCTCTTAATTAATTTACAGCACACTTTATAGCCAGATGTTCTAAGTCGATCCTAAAACAACTGGTGAAAACAGTTAATGCGTAGTATAACTGAAATATCGTGACAAAAAACTGTAAGAAACAAGAATTAGCAGGAACTTAATAAGAATAAGCAAGAAAAAAAAAATATTTTACTAAAATAAACAAGAATAAGCAGGAACTAAATACTACGTAGTAGTTTAAAAATATTGTCACTGAGAATCTTGAGTGAAATTTAACGAAGCCTTCAGGATACAAATTTATAGACTTTATTTTATATTATTTTCCTTGTACGAAATCCTGGTCGGATTGATGGCAATGAAAAGTATACCATTCAATTGAGTTTTTTTCAGTAATTAAAAATTTGAAATAAATAGTATTTGTTTGATCATTTAAAATAGACTTACTCCACACTTTAAAAAAATAGTATATTGTAACCTCTAAATTATGTAATTAGTTTTTATTTTTTAAATAAAAATATATCAAACATGATTTCAAATCCAATCATGGTAAATTGCCCATATAGTAGATGTACATAGAGAAGAATATATTATGAAAACCTCGGACATTCATTAAAACATTAATTAATTAAGAAGAAAAAAACTGATGACTGGATGACGAAAAGAACAAAGGAGAAGGTATATGTAATTACTAATGAATAAACGGATATATACGTATATGTATATTCTGCATTTATTGATGTCATATCTGGATAAATTTTGTATAGATATATACTAGAAATCTACTTAAAGTCTTGAACTAAGTATAGTTAGCAGCAGGTGTCTCCTTGTCCGGGCACACTGATGTATTGATCAATAATGTATGATATATACGCGACATTCATCCATTTTATAAAGCAGTAATATGTACTCCCTCCATTCTTAAAAGATCCATATTCTAGGATTTTCACAGATATTAAGAAATATACATTAAATTTGAATAGGTTTTTGTTATTAGTTTTTTCCCATAATTTTAAACCAATAAAAATCTAATAAGTGAAATTAAATTTTTTTGAAATTTACAATTATTTAATAAAATATGCATTGAAAATGTAAAAAATAAGATTTTTAAAAACAAAAAATTTCTCTTGAATATAGATCTTTTAAGAACGGAGGGAGTATCATGTATGTGCTCGTACCATAACTACAATGACCATTTACTTCATTTTTAACTTCTTTAACTATATATTCCTTTTGTAAAAAGAGGGAAACCAAATTTTGTAACAAAAAGTAAAAACTTAGGTACCATCTTCCAAAACCAAATTTTGATTTGAATTTTTAGGACTATAGTTACAACGTGAACTCGATTTACGATACGTAAACATGACTAATAAGAAATAGACTTAACGAAATACATTTAATGCAAGGCTTAACAATTGATAAGATCAGTCCTGGATAGGATTATATTAACAAAATACAAGACTATTTTAGAGCCTTAACGACAAGTCAAGGTGACTCATCTCCTAATCCTGATCAAGACCACTCTCCGGCACACGACGGCCTGAGAAGTCCGTCCGGCCACCACTTTCGACAAATCCTTCATAGCCACGGCCGTAGATCTCAAACCGGCCGGAGAAAGGGTAAGGCTGATCAGAATCAACAGTAGTTGAGGATCTAAAGAGTTCTCGACTCTTCTTGGCTAAGGTTCTCTCTAGCTTATGAGCGTTTTGATGGCCACCTAGAGCTTGAGAGCTGTAAAACTTTCTTTGACAATAGTTACAAGAGAATACTCTAGGCTGCTCCAAACATGACGATGAGTTCGTGGAAGAAGCAGAAGAAGACGTAGAAGAAGGCTCGAGGAAAAGTTCTAGGTTTAGTTGGTGGTTATTGTAACTTGGTTGGCTCAGACGTAGAGACGTGTTTGGCTGAAAGTCCATACCTAAATGTTTAGAAAGAAAGAGAGGGAAAGGGAGAGGTTAGAGAAATGGGAAGAGGCAAGTGTGTTTGAAGAGTGTGGGGTTGATGGGCATTATATTTAAGGTGTTAAGGTGCGTAGATCTGCTCAAAACTCAGGTTGGGTGCAGCTTCGACTGTAAAGTATGGGGGAGAGAGAGGGATATTAGAGAGATGAGACATGTAAGCTGAAAGAATCAGTGGAGATCCGAGTGTTGTCGCCTTCATTAATGGCATCCTTTGAACCCTTTGTCGGTCCATCTAATATAATTTTCCTCAAAGTTTTATATTTTAAATAATATATTATTATTATATATACTTGTATCATTTTAGAGTGTTGAACACCTTAAAAATGATGTCCCATGTGGTAGTTGTTAACACCATACACATAGAATAGCAATTTTAATAGTATAGATGTTGTAGTTAATGCCTTTTCTATTTGACATTAATCTATTCCGTAAATTTTCGCAACTTACTTTAAACATGTATAATTTCGGTATGTGCAAATTCCTTAGAATTTTCTTGTCATACTCCAAGTTTACCAAAGTTTTTTCCTAGTACAACCAAGAAATCTATTTGTGCTCAAATTTATTTCATACCAAAGTAGTATGAGAAAAGATGATCATATACATACAAATGTCAATTTATATGACTTTGCTAAGCAGTCGTTTGAAATAATATCATGTTCAAAACCAACTATTGATTAACAGTACAGAATTACAGGTGGTTGTAGAATTAGGTTTAAAATCCAAAAGAGATTGTTTATGAGAAAATACATTCACTCAAACTAATTCTATATACTATACTTTGCAAGTTTATATATGCATCAAGTATCACAAATTTGTATAGAAAATGTACCCTAATTCATAAAATTAGAATTACATTATATATAGATATAAAGTAACCTAACTCATAGAAAAAGTTACATTTGAAAATTAAAGTTCAAAAATGAGAATTTATCATTAAGGGCATAACTGTCTATACAAAAACAAATGTGAATAGAGTTTCAATCAAAACAGCTGTTAGGAAAGACTTAAGATCAAAGCTCTCTTATCAGATTTCCAGTATTGGCTATGAACACTTGCCGTGATAAAGCTTTTTGACTCGGCTTAAACATGTAAGATGATGTTAACCCCTATTTAATTGAAATCATCTCTCACCGTGTGATCATTCTCTCCATCAACGGTTCACAAGGAGTTCGTACCAGATAAGATGTGGACTGCAACACAGTGAACCCACTTTGGTTATATTACGCTTTGCCTTCCGTGAGCTTAGAATCACAGAAGTCATTTCAGTTCTAATTGTTTCAAGTAAATTCAATTAATACTATTAATTACTTAGAATCAATAAAGAAACATCGATGTCATGTGTACATATGTTTCATTAAGACCTTTGTCGTTTAAAAGATTACGTTTTCGTGCTAATCTCTCATGCTTGTTTCGTTCTTTAATTAATTTCTTTCGTGTTCAATCGATTTTTTGAATTTATGGTACTTTGCTGATAAGTTAGTAAGTAGTATAAATTACCTTGATATATCATGTGCAATTCAAACAAAATGGATTGTTCTTAGAAAGAGGGGGGAGGTGGAAGGGATTAACATGATTATCATGAAATATAACCTTTTTTTTTGGTCAACCATGAAATATAACCTAGTGGTTTGTGTTATCCTTCAAATTTTTATATTGCACATTATCAATTAAAAGTTATAAAATAAGATGTATAAAGAAGAAACCAAGTTAATTAGAAAAATCATCTTAAGTTTTACTATTGTTTAGACCACCAATTACAAACTAGTGATATTTTTACAGACATATAATATCATTAATAACAAATCAAAATTATAAAGTCAACAACATACATACTTTTTTAGCCCTTTTTCGAAACAAAAAAAAACATACAAACTCTTTGAAAAAAAATTATTACATAATTAGTTAATATGTTTCATACAATATATTGAAGACGAGGATAACATAATTACTGGTTTTGATTATAACATAATTAGTGAATTTGATAATGCTTTTTGAAATAAATAATATCTTATTTTATTTTACTGCCATATGAAAACTGATGCAATTATGTGATTTGATTATGAGGAGACGTGGAAGATGAGGCGACCAAAATAAAATTAGAAAAGAAGGTTGGACTATGTTGCTGTCCACCTCAAATCTATTTGTCCTAGGATGGGACGACATTAAACTTCATGTGACGATTAGTCTACTTTACATCACAATATGTAGTATGTAGGTATACGGAAGTAATTAGACAAAACGCAAATACTCTTTAGATTATTCGTTAGACTGCGTCCATTATTACACTTTTATTGAACAAGAATGTCTATATTATACTCTGCATGTACCTAAAGTAAAAATATACAAGATCGTTTTGTTTATATTCAGATGATTTTATCCTGAATAATGGTCCATCAATTATAATATTTTGTGAAATTTCTCATATTATAACTGAGATGATGAACTACGTCTATGACATTATAACTGATTTGATGATGAACTAGTTTTTAAGAACAATTCCAGCCCAAAGTTCTCATGGTAATATAAATGCATGTATTGGACTAGCATTCTCATGTTTTAAGTTTTCCAACAATATATTTATATTATTTTATATTTTAACGGTTTGTTTAGATATCCATAAGAATTTGTAATAAAGCTGCTCGAAAAAGATATATGTATATAAATGCATTTAAATAAATTAATTACAGGCTATGTGGACTTTAAATATTTATCTCTCAAAAATATTTATTTAGATATATTTCACGTTGATTAAGAAAAATATAAAAATGTATTACATTTCTTATATAGTTATTTAAATAAAAATATTTAACTAAATATATTGGTTATTTAAAACGGTAAAAAAAATGAATATGAAACTTTGCGTTGGAAATGTAGCATCACTCTTTTTGAAACAAAATAAAAAAAGTTAGAAATACATTCTTTATGAACAGATGGAATATCCAAAAGAATACATTCTTTATTTTATATTTTTTTTATTCGGAAATCTGTCGATATCTCTTATTTAATCTTCTTGTTTCTATATTTCATAGGAAATATCTACCACATCGAGCCCGTTCCAGGAGAAGAAACTCAATTTATTGACTCTGGTTATCAAATGATTGAACAACCGGGCCGACAAATTTGGTGATCCAATATGTAATCCGCTTAGAGTTTTAGAAAAAATCATTATTTAAAACCTAATAAAATTCACAAAATACCATTAAATTTTGTAACTTGAATTACTGGTTGAACAAGTACGTAACTTTTACTTATTTTTCTTTGATTTCAGTTATATATTAGAATTTTTTTATATTCTAATAAAAAGTCAGGATTTTAGTTTTTAAAAGTAAAAAGAGCGTATAGCATGTAGATTTATGAATCTATTAACAAAATAGAGTTGTGTTGTTGAAGAAAAAGAACATGTCAGACTTGATTATAATGAGTTAGAGAATGATGTTGCTAAAAAAATATTCTAAAGACGATAAAGGGACAGACCTAAAAAATTGATGTAAATTTAAGAATTGAAATTTCTTAGTTTATATTATATATAATATTAATTAAACTATTTATTTGTGATTTTAGATTTTGATGAAGAATTTACGAAAATTGTTGATATGATTTAGTATTATTTTATTTTTGTTATCATAATCTAATGAAATTTGATGTTTTAGTTTTAGTTGATTTTGTATTTAAAGTTTAATTTATTATTTATATTAAATATTTAAATACTTAAATATTTTAAGTCTTGATATATTCTTTTATATGTCACAATTCTTAACTTGTTAAAAAGTTTAAATAGTCTAAATTATTTTTTTAATATTTTGTATCTGAAAAAAACAAAAAAACTAAAGTTAAATATTTTCTAATTTATTTTTAAAACATAAAATTACTTGTATATTTTAATAAATAATTTAATATTATATAACAAAACTAGTTAATTTATTATCTTGGGGTTCATCTGCGATCTATCCAATAACTTGCTGATTCGGGAAATTATCTGGTTTAATATTTGGATCGGGGTTAAAAACTCTTGCTAGCAACTTAGAAAGCTGTTACAGTAACGGGATCACAATATGGTAAACCATGTGTATTGCTTGTTAAATTAATTAGTATCTTAATTAAATAATTCTAGCAAATACTCACTCAGGATGGCACATGGGAAGTGAATGCCTGAATGGGACTGAATATTATACTGAAAAAGATAAATAGAAGACAAGTTCGTCAAGTTGATTGGTTTATGTATACTAAGCGTACGACTTCAACCAATAGCAAAAATGAGTCACATAAACCCATTATGTCCACTTCCAAATTGATAGACGCAACAACAAATAAAAAAATCAATCAATAAAAAGAAAGATCAGATCTGATCACTATAAAATTAATAAAATCATAACCCAATTTTTTATTTAGAAAGAAGAAAAAGGAATGATTAGAACAAGATTAGACCATGATTGTGGGATTATAATCTAAACAGCCGGCTAAGTTTGCGCTGAGCATTTTGTCTCTTTATTACAGACACAACACAACCAGATTTGTTTCTCATGATTTGCTATGTTCATGTTAGTTTTCTTGAGTAGTTCTATGAAAATTCTAAATTAAGATTTACGGGGAAAGAGATTAAACATTATAATTATATTCTATGGTCAGTCAAAGATATAGTCTTTGTACTTTGTAACATATATTGTCTGTAGTTGACAAAAAAAAAAACATATATTGTCTGTCAAAGTGGGCAAAGGAAAAATCATTTGTGTATCTCTATGAGTGTTAGTAGTATATAAATGGAAGAAACTTAGACAGGAATGGCTGTGAACATGATTTTTCCTTTGCCCACTTCTAATAGCAAAATATCTTCGTTTAATGTGAAATCAAATATTTGTTAACTAAATTTTGATTGATAAACATGGCCTGTGTTCGCCAATATTGGGAGGCCGTATAGTACGATGAATAGTAAACATAAATTTGATAATATGGATATT